TTTTATTTTGCAATTTACCTATTCCCAAGATTCTATTACACTGTATTTAAAAAACTGTCTTACTGTCATTTCCTGAAAACATGAACAATAGGCCTGGAGTCACTGCTCTTTCTGCCTTCAGGGTCCTGCTTGCTCCTCAAAAAAAACCAGCCCCATCCGAACAGCCTCAAATGTGGGGTCCAGGGCTCCTGACTGCCTGCCTTCCAGGAGCTGGTGGGGCCAGACTTGTGCTTTGGCTTGCTTACCAAAAATTAAGCTATTCCAATTAGCATTAAGGCAAAGTCCAGTCTGGCTGGCAAAATCATTTAGTTGCAGAGGGAGAAAAGAAAAACTTGATGACCCCTCAAGTTTTAAACTCAAGAAAAAGGACCATTAATGGCAAGAGCAAATTCATCTGGAACCAAGTAGTTTACAGGGACCTGGAAACAGATTTGAAGCATCATACTATACACCAGCATCCTCCCTGCTTCCAGGAGAATTTGCAAATACCTCAGGCCAAACCAAATTCACAGATAATGCACATTTGTTTCCTTCTGACTTCCTATGCAAATCAGTTCTTAAAACATCTCTCTGTTGCTCTCACACAACCCATACTGACAGATGTGAATACATGACTGTATTAAGACCTCAGTGGACCTGTATTTAATTACCGTGTTTTTACTTCGTGTCATCCTGTCTTATCTTTCCCACCAATACATGTGGTATCATCTACATACTAGTATTACATAATTTAAATATGTCTACCCAACCTTTCTCATAGCTCTAGTCCAAGGAGAAATATGCACACTCCTGGAAAGACAGGGGCAAAAATCAAAAGCTTCTCAAAAGCACAAGTCAATCACAAGGAACTACCTTCAAATCCAAACAGCTGCTGAACAAAACCATGACAACATTCGCCCTGAGTTAGGGTAATGCATAATAAAAACAGGCAAAGCATTATGTCAAGAAAGCACCCTCATTTATGACTAGCAACACTAACTGTCATCCTAACACGTAACCTAATTCTCATAAAGACTAATTTGTTCCACTCAGGTCATCCATAAGCCATTTTCTCAGTGTTATTCTCCCTTTTTCACTTAAAAAAGCACTGTTATGATGTTATTGGCTCTTTTCCCCTTTGCAGCTTCAAAATTTTGTAATCTGTAGGCAAAAACCTTAATTTTGGACACACTCCATTCTCATTACCACATCTATCAGCTTCATATTACCAGATCCTCTAATTCAATCCAAAATAAAAAATTACAGAAACATTCATCACCCACCATGACCTTCCAATATCTTAATTTAAATCATCCCATGGGCTGGGGATTTAGCTCAGTGGTTTCGCCACCTGCTGCGGCAAGCTCAAGAACCCGAGTTCAATCCCTGGTACCAAAAAAACCAAAAAAAACCAAATAAATCATCCCAACTGTACTTGGTGGCTATAAAAAAAAAATGACCATTGAATTACACAATATTAAAATTCTAGTCTAAATTAATATCCATATAACCTATGTAATTAAATTTCCCTATATTGTAGTACTTCAAAAGTAACTAGGAGGGGCCGGGGATTTAGTTCGATCCCCAGTATTAAAAAGAAAAAAAAAAAAAAGAAAGTAACTAGGAGGATAAGGCAGCTGCCAGATAAACAAACCAAAAAATAAATAAGACGCATAATGGCCCACTTAATGCACTCATAATTGAAAATCATTTTTTATAAATATTTGTTTATTGTAAACTATAAAAGTTGCATGAATTTTCTAAAAAGATCTCAAGAAATTCTTAAAAGGGGCTACTCTGGCTGCTCTTTATCCAAATAAGACTCTGGTAGAAGCGGCTGAGAGAATATCATTTTTCACCAAGTTCCACTGAAGAAATAACTATTCTGTTCACATTCCCATCTGCTCCAGACTACTCTAGAGACCAGTGTTTTCATCTGATGGACTTTATGAGAAGGCTGTTTTACAGGAGTGATCATGGTGACCACAGGCACACGTGGCAGCACCAGCTGCATGCTGTACAGAGGGAAAATGAGCTTTGGTGAAACACACCATTCTCCCCTATGACCCCAGAAGCTTAAGAAATAGGATAAGAAAGATCATGCTACTCAAGAATATTTACCATTCAGTTACTTATTTTGCAGTGCTTGGACTGAAGCTAGGTCTTGTGCACTGCAGGCAAACACTCAACCACTGAGTTACATCCTGGCTCCCACTACCCTTTAATCTTGGTATATTCTAAAGGTAGAGATGTTTTGGCAGAGAGGCAACATGTAGGAAAAAAGTCATCAAATTTCAGGTACAGCTGGGCTCAATGGTGCACACCTGTCATCCCAGCACTTAAGGAGGCTAAGGCAGGAAGATCCCGAGTTCTAGTTTCCCCTGGGCAACTGAGCAAGACTCGGTCTCAAAAATAAACAAAAATATTCCACCGCCTGCCTCGCAAGCGCAAGGACCCGAGTTCGATCCCTGGTACCAAAAAATAAAAAATAAAAATGGCTGGGGATGTAGTTCAGTGATAGAGCACCCATGGTCTATGGGTTCAATCCCCAATATCACACACACACATGCACACATAAACACACACACACACACACAAATATATATATATATATATTTTTTTTTTTTCCAGGTACAAAGAGGCATTTTGGGCTCAATTCTGCCATTTACTATTTAAGAAAGTGGGACAAGCCTAGCTACGTCCTCATCTCTAAAATAAGGAAGATAATAAGATCAAATGGGTAGGAAAGTCTTGTCAATAGTATTAATAAAGTGCTACTTTTCGTTCACTTAGCATCCAGAATACGTCAGTGGGAAATAATGACCAAAAACTGGCTCTTCTTACCAGGCATCTTCATAATTCCAACATGGTTATCAAGAATCTTCTTGAAATTATTGGCTAAAACCTACAGCCAATAATGTAAAGATGCAAAATTTTATAAAATATCCATATATTTAGACAATTTTTTATCATTTCTATTTACATTCTAAATGAAGGGGAAGGGTGAACAGCTCTAAGAACCTATCAAGGGGCCAAAATTTACACTGAAGTTAAACCTAACAAGTGACAAATTAAAAATGAAGAAACACAGTATATAAAACTCCAAACATCTAAAATTAACAGCAGCCCGCCATTGCGAAAATCAACAATGCCGAACACGTCTGAGAGTGATCTGTTAGGTACATGTGGGAACGGCTGGACAATCCTGTCAGCACTTGCTTTGTAAAGCGTGGGATCTTGCTGCAATTACACACGCTCCTCTACAAGGAGGCAGAAATGAAGAGGCAGCAAGTTAAGTACTGAATTAATAACCAAGCATGACTCGCTTATTAGGACTAATAGTAAACCCCATACTGGTTAAAGTTGATATTATAAAGTGAAGGCCATTTCAAAAACATTACTTGAACATTAGGTTTTTCCTTGTTTTTGTTTTTGTTGTTGTTTTTTAAATCAATTTCAAGAGGACAACAGTAGGATGCTAAGAGAAAAACCGACAAAACCAGCCCTGGCTTTAGAAGATTAAAAATATCAAAGGGAATGTCCTCATTTATCATTTTAACATACAAAAAAAAATCCCCAAAGTTCATTTTTCAATTCTTTTTCTTTTTTTGGTACTGGGGATCAAACTCAGGTCCTTGCACTTGTGAGGCAGGCAGCGGAACCACTGAGCTAAATCCCTGGCTCCCAACGTTCATTTTTTCCTTGAGGTTGAAATTGATTTGCTTGTAGAAATACTATAAATCTGGAAACGAGGGCTGGGGTTGTAGCTCGGGGGCAGAAGGCTGGCCTGGCACATGGAAGGCCCTGGCCTGGAACCCAAGCACCAGCAGAAAAACTGCAGAATAAACACTGGACTGTCTTAAGCAAAATATTCTCAGGAGAAAGCAAATACAACATGAGCCCAGGGATTGTCAAGTTGTAAAGAAATGTCTGATTTATTATGCAGCTTCATCGATTAAAGACTCTTCTCCCCTCCTGCCTCATTCCTTGCAGTGCTATCTGTGTAGATCACACAATAAGGAACGCTTATGCCACTACTGTACTTTCTAATAGTACCAAGAGTTAGAATCACAAAATCTACAGGTAATATTTCTGCTTCTTACATGTACTATTCATATACCCAGCATACGAATTGTTACTAATTTAAATAATTACAAAAAGACCACCAGCCCAAGGATATGTCATTTGAACATAAACTTCTAATATTTTTCTTTTGATTGTTTGTTTTTTTGTTTGTTTGTTTGTTTTTTGGTACTGGGGATCAAACTCAGGTCCTTGCGCTTGCGCAGCAGGCGGCAAAACCACTGAGCTAAATCTCCGGCCCTAATATTTTTCTTTTTAAAACTACTCCCACTCACTGTCATTTCCACCACCTATACCTACACATCTGTCTATACTGACACATCTAATGGACACCAATCAACTACGTTTATGCAGGTACAGCTTAGTTTTGCGAAAAGCCTTGCTATTAGAGCCTGATTACTGAGACTGAAAACTCTGAATATTACTCGGTAATGACAATGATTCAGTAAGAAATTTTGCATATGGAAGTGACATAATGAATGCAGGATTTCAGAACAATTCACTGAACAGATAGGAATGAGGTGTAAAGGGGGGAGACCATTTGGCAGTCTGTGAGCATAAACTATATGTAGGGTATTATGGGTGAAACAGACAGCAGATGGGAATAAAAAAGACAGAAGAGAGACATAAGTAACGTCCAAAAGGCTCGGTCCAGACGTCCGTTCCCACTGCTGTGAAAGAGCCAGGACATGGAGGAGGGGGGTCAGAACGGCCTGGCGGAATCTGGGCTCCGCTGGCCCACAGAGGCAGGCGAAGACAGGGCTCCCACGTATGGGGAGCTGGGGCTCTGCTGCTCGGGCCGGGAATGTGCAGAGAGCTCTGTGGACTCAGTGGAGCCCCATTAGGAGGGATGATTCATAGCAGAGAGAGAAGAAAGGAAGCTGTGCCCTAACCGAGAGGAAATGTACTCTCTCCCTCAGGCCAATTGCACAGCTTACCTCAAATGTTTTCACCTTTTCCATTGTGATCAGGCGCCGTGATGTGTGGTTGGAAAGCTTCTGCTCACAGTTGCTAATGAGTCTCAGGCAAGGGTGCCGGGGGACCATCTCCTCCGTGTACCTGAGGGAGGAGCAGCTGGCGTCAGGGACACTCAGGCACGGCCACCCGGCCTCCAGCAGCAGGGGCTCAGCCAGCCGGGGCAGGGGCGGGCCCCATGTGCCATCTTTGTGTTTAAAAAGAGAACTGTTCTACTATTACCACATCCAAAAATATGGTTTAAAAACTGAAGAGAGAGAGGAAAACAGACACAGACAAACGCACAGGAAGAGGAAGAGGGAGAGAGAGGACACAAGTGTGTTTTATGAAGACTGCCAAACATTTAAACCACAAAAATGCAACAAAAAGGTTCCAGCCCAAAGGATCCCACAAGAGCAGATGAGCAGACAGACCTGCACTCTACAACAAGCCCTGACGTCCAGGAGGGATGGATTCACCTGAAGGTCTCCATCAATTCCTCTAGTATAAAGTCCTCTGTAGCATACACTTTCTCCTATATACTTTTTTTTTTTTTGGTACCAGGGATCGAACTCGGGTCCTTCCACTTGCGAGGGAGGCAACAAAACCACTGAGCTAAATTCCCGGCCCTACACTTTCTCCTATAAAATGAAGTGCCGCTGAGAATTTTTAATGCTATCCTGGGACCACTATTACATCTGTAAATACACGATAAATAAACTAGGACTAAAGTAGGTGCCACGGATTACATGGGTCAGGCCACATAAGCAGGAAATGAAACAGAAACTGTGGCATCCCGAGTGGAGACGGGTGCTGCACAGCACTGACACCGCGTGAATGGAGGGGACAACAGCCAGAAACCACGAGCATCAAGCGCTGTCCTGAGCCTGCTGGCCAGCAAATGCCGGTGTCCACCCTGAGAGAAGAAACAGATGACAGATGTGCGGAAACAGGCATGAAGCCGAATAGGGAACAGAGGGCAGGGCTCGCAAGGTATGGGTATCTATTTTGCAACTGACAGTTTTTATTTTTCCTTTGCAATCTTTCTGCCTTTCTGAACAGTTTCTGCACATGGCTAATATGTGGGTGATCTTAAAGCTCTGACCCCAAATGGCAAAGGTTCTGACCAAGAACTGCAATTACAGCTGACTTCACATCAGTACCGATCAGTGGAAGGAGTCTCCCGAACTCATTCTCCACTTTCTTCCTCAGCTTTCCAAGTAACAACCATTTCAGTTCCACCTCATCAAACAATTCTTTAGTGTTCACTAGTCTTATATACAGAAATGCTGTGCTTCTTATAAAATTAGTTGAAATCAAATCTGGAATTTTCATACTAAGCATCAATGATAGGATGGAATACATTCTACAACACAGGTGAAGCTAAAATAAAAACTGGACACAGAGAGAAGACAGAGCTCTGACCTCCAGCATGCAAAGAGCAAGAGTGCTGTGCCTGAAACAGTGTTCGTCAAACTCGATAATGCACCCCTTCTTAAAGAAGAAAACATCCTTTTATTCCCTAGAGGGACTGGCTTAAGTATTGTTATTAACGTGTAACTTAAATATCTACAAATAAAAATAAGGTATAAATTCCCTTATATAACTATAAAACCCAGAACAGATGTATGGATCAAATCGAATGAATAAAACCAATATGATTTTAAATAATATTTAGGTCATAAATGATGGCAAACTATTAAACTACACAGCATTTGGCTTAACAGCATACGAACATAGTTACCTGCTTTGTATTTTCTTTTTGACTGGATCTTTGATTTTAAGCATGAAGGGTCCTACTTTGGATCAACATCACACCAAGAAACGTCTTGCTTACTGCTGTGTTAACAGTCCCCTCAGAGGGTCTATACCGTGGGATACTAGTTCTAGGACCCTTCACCCCCAGACACCTAAATCTGAGGATGCACAAATGGACGCACAATCTCCTGCATTCTTTAAATCATCTCTAGATGATTTGTAACACCTAATGCAATGTGAATGCTATGGAAATATTTGCTCTACTGTATTGTTTAGTGGCAAGGACAGACAAATGTTAAATTTGGAAAATATGGATGAGGGTACAGATACAAGTTTCTGGATGGTATCTGAAATTTTTCTGTAAGTTTGAAATTATTTCAGAATAAAATTTTTATAATTATAGCTCAGCACCTTGAAGTAAAACAAAAAACAAGTGGCTTGCTTCGGTTACAGAGAGCAGAGGGAGCGAGAGATGAGGACAATGTGACAGCAATTAAACACTAGTTTTTCCAACAGCATATTGCAAAAGGAAGAGGAAAGCGAAGTGCAGCTAGAGAGCCCTACACAAATGACAGATGTGTCTTCCAAACAGGAGAAGCTTGAGAATATTTTAGTACACAACGTGTCTAAGGTAGCAAACATTTTTGCACAGAAATGAACAAATACATTCTGTGAAATAATTTTTTCTTTTATATTAATAAAATCCACCCATTGCTTCAAATACCAGAGATATGAGAGCTGGTATGCTGCTGAAATAGAAGAACACAGCACTGCCACTATGGAGAACAATTCGCTAGCTCTGGACAAGTCATTTTACTCCTTGGAATTAATGTTCCCCGTTTCTTAAATGAAGTGGTTAACTGATTATCACTGGCAAGAAAACACAAAGCCAGTGTTAAGCAACCGGGGCAGGACTGTGTCCTTAGGGCTGGTAGACAGCGGTGCAGCCAAAGCGAGGCCAGGAAGCTCCCAATGCCACATTTATGAAGCGAACAGCAAAAGCAGAGCAGCTTCCACAGCTCTGCTTGCCACTCAACAGTTACTGAGTAATAATATCCAAGTCAACAATGTTGTCCATAAACAGGGCTTCAAATGTCGGTGTAGCCCTTGCTTTGGCCTTGGCACTTCCAAGTGACATAATAGACAATGTATACGAAAGCTACGGGAGGTGGTACATACATGGGTCGCTCCACTGACTTGGGGAAAATCACTGTTGGTAGACTGACCAAACTATTCATGGACACGTACCACTAGGAACATGCAGGCACTGGGCCAAGGGAGAAGGTCAACAAAAGTCGGCAAACTTTCCCTGTAAAGGGCCAGAGAGTAGATACTTTAGATTTTTATGACCAAGTGGATTCCTGTCACATATCCTTTTGTGTTTTAATAACAATGCTTTAAAAATGTAAAAACCAGTCTTAGCTCATAGACCTTAAAAAAATAATGCTGAGAACCTTATGCAGCCCACATAAGTGGTGTGCCAACCCCTGCTATAAAACAAAAAGGTCACACAATACAATCCACAAGGAGAGGCCTATTTTTCACATATATGCAGGTAAGCAAAAGCAGTCTAAATACATTAAATGCAAATGTACCTTGATGAAATCAGAAATGAGGAAAAAATTGTATTGGATATGCAAGCACTGTAAGAAAAATGCAGTTAAAACTAATTACATACTCTGGTGTATACACAGGTAACCAGTAGACCAGTCTTCCGCCTAACATGAGGGTCTCTGCTGCGAAGTTTAACAGGTCAAAAAACATGTCGCTCAGGTGATAACTCAAGGACACTGGAACGTGGCTTTCTGGACTGCACAAAGAAAACAAAATTTCGAAAGCAGTGACAACTTTAATATTTTTTAAGTCAACTAAAAAGAAGCATCATGCTTCTCAAAGGAGCAAGTCACCACGTGTCAACATCCCTTACCATTTTTCTATCCCCTTTGGTATTTCCTTCTGCGAACCTGTCCTTCTTGTAGATTCTCTGATGCCATATGGAGCTAGACAGAAAACACAAGTGACACGGAGAGTCAGAAGTCACCGCGCCCCAGCGATGGGCTCACAGACATCAAGAGCGTCTGAGGGGAAGCTTAGAGGGGACACACCCTACGCGCCATTCCAACTCGGAACACGTGATGGAAGAAGCCGACGGACAGGAGACTGTTCTCAAGAAGGTCGATGTCCTAAAAAACACAGTAAGGCTGTGGAAGTATTACAAATTAAAGCCGGCTCAAAAGATATCATTACTAAACAGAATACCTAACTCTGGAGTAGATCCTGAGAGAAAAAGATAGGCCATAAACGATATTAATGGGTCAACTAGCAAAACTGGGTGGCAAACTGTAGAATAAAGCATTGTATTAATTTACTAAAGCTGAAAATTGACCCTTTTCTTAGGAAATACACACTAAGTATAGGACTACCATGTATCCAGCTTATTCTCAAGTTGATAAAAAATAAAATTATATATTTGATATAAACATCCATACATAGTGTGAGACCAAATAAATTGTTAATAAAATCTCACCCAATTTTCACAGTCATTCATACTGCCAGGGAAATGCCTGGATAATTTCCCTTTGTAGATTTGCAAACATCTAACATACTGAAGCACTAGAGAGCTGAGAGAGAAGGTTAAAAGGACCACTGATACAAGAGATGACCAATCTGCTCTCAGATACACTGCCTAGAAAGCCCAAGATCTCATGAGGTGAAAAATAAGTTCTCAGGTACACTGCGGAAGTCCAGTGGGTGCACAACCCCCCGAGGTTCACAGAACCCCAAATTTGTTACAAGTCTAGAAAAGAGACACTGATGAAAACAGGCACGACAGCATCACAAAGGCTTACACACACAGCAACGTGCAGTACCTGACACTCTCGGTATGCTAATAACCAAGTGTGGTGGACACAAACACAAGTACATGCCTTGAAAAAATAAGCTGAAGGGAAACTGGGTTGCAAGTTAATATAAAAGGATGTAAGAACAGATGACAGTTAATATATTTGTTTGGAAACAAAACGTTTGACTCTTAATTAGTTAAATTAGGAACCTGTCTCAAATCCATCACTTCCTTCGTCCTCCGTGAAGATGCGGAGTGGGAGGGGTACCAGTACAGGGTGGGGTTTTGTGTGTAGGGCCAATACATTTTGTAGTTTAAATGTAAAAGGTTTTAGAAAACTAATGCCACCCAAATGTTTGTAAAAAAATAAATAAATAAACCTACGATCGGTGATGATTGCATCAAAATACGTGCCCTTCCTCCAGGAAGGTTTAGACGCATCTGAGACCAGGACGTCGAGGTAATACTTTTCTAACCCATACTGACGAAGGTTCGCCCTGATGTTTTCATCTGGTCCCCTCCATTTCTGGTTTTTTCTAGTAGCCTTCCCTGAAGGAAAAGAAAAAGGAAAGAAGAAAGTATTAGATCAAATGGAGCTTTACTTCCTGCTGTTTAGCTAATATTGTTTTTGTTCATCTAAACCCACATTTGGTCACATAAACCTTTTCATTTAAAATCTTAACATATATAATTAAACAGTTATTTTATTACAACTCATATAGCAATTATTTTATTTCAAGATATGTTTTGAACAGTAAAATGTACTGATACCTACTCGATCTTTTCCTGTCCCCTTTCAAGTAAGACTGTCTTAAAACATCCACTCAATGGGCCAGGGATTTAGCTCAGTGGTTTCGCCACCTTCTGAGCAAGCGCAAGGACCAGGGTTCGATCCCCAGTACCAAAAAAACAAACGAAACAAAAAAACATCCACTCAACACCTTCTACACACGAAGCACTTACTAGTAACACTCAGAGTTGAACCGAACATGACTCTTTCCCTCAGCACACATCATCCTGGGGAGACCTGGCACTGGATCAGACACAAGGAGCAGACATGAAGAAAGCTAACTGGAAGCATCGCAGCTGTGAGCACACAGATGGCAGGCACGACGGGGCCTCCCTGATACACAGTCCAAGTGCTGGGAGGGGGCAGAAAAGTCCAGAAGATTCTAGCTCGGAAGACAAAATGGATGATAATGACTGAGATCAGTGACCATGATCAGAGAAACCAGGGGGAGAAACAAGCTCCTCAGGGAGAATGTCTGAGATATATAATCGTGATATGCCTTGAGGCACCTGCAGAGCACTGAGAGAGAGACTGGGCTGAGTGAGAGTCAACAGGAAGCTGAGCTGGAAGGGACACGTGTGTGGGAGCAGTAGATCAACAAGCAGAATCCGTAGGGCTCACTGACCTCTTTGTTAACCTAGGTGCTAGCTACTTAAGAGTTTGCTTTCTAGTAATTACTCATATATTTATACTCCGTGTCATGACCACTTTACAATAAAAACAAACAGAAGTCAAAAGAAACAACATGCCAGAGATAAGAGCAATCGGTCAAAGACAAATAACGCAAGAAGAAGACAATCCATAAGCAGAGATCAAAGAAAATCTCAGGGTCTTAAGGAGACCGAGATAGCAACCAAAAAAATAAAAGTGTCCCCCAGAGGGACCACGCTGCAGGAGTCCAAGGGAGCTGAAAGAGGTCGGCCCTGACAAGCACGCAGTTCTGTGTCCTCACTCGCACTTCCGGCAGAAGGGAGGCGTGGCAGCTGGAAGATCGTGGGTAGGAGAAAGAGAGGACGGGGGAAGGAGGAAAAGGAAAAGCAAGGAAAGCCTTTTTGGCAAAAAGTAGAGGAAAGCAAAACAGTAGCTCGAAAGCCCCTAAAGCAGTGGTGGCGAACCTATGGCACATGTGCTATAGCAGGCTGTATCACTGAAAGCTCTAAAAGGTTTGCCATCACTCCCTATAGGACTGATAGAAAAGGCTGTGCATGTTCCAAGTAGAAGCAGCCTGAGAACATCCTAGAAACGGTCTGAACAGAAGCACAGGGAGCAGAGGACATACCTAGCATATCCCGGGTGAATGCTGCAGAAACTACTCCATCAGAACTGCACCCGAGGGACCGGAGACTACACACAGCTTTAAACAGAACTTTAATAATTAAAAAGTCAAACAAATTAGAGGACAACTTCCTTAAAACAAACAGCACTTCTACTAAAAGGAAACTGGAACAATTCCTCTTGGCACTTTATCTGCCCTAACACAATGCAGACAAAGAATACCCTTTTCTGGTCAGCCCATTTATATAAACCATTTAAAAATATAACTCATTTTTCCTCCTAAAATATATCACTAAATTCCTTAGAATTGAGGTAGGAAAAAAAGATAGGTCATCAGTATAAAATATCAAACTACTTCAGCAAAAGAAAAGATATTCAATTCTCATCTGTACAATAACTTACACTAAATAAGGAAAAGAGTGGTTTAAGAATGATTCACATTACAATAGTGGATACCGTTCAATCCCCGGTACCAAAGGGAAAAAAAAAATAGTGGTACACCAACATAAAGACAAACAATTTCAAAATCATGAGTGAAACTTGGTATTTTTAATATTAATCAGCTATAAGGAAATACTTTATAGTTTTGTTCACTTCGACCCAATTATACATCACTAATGAAGCTTTAAACTTAAAATATTTTCCAATCTTGCCTCAAATGCAAAGCAGATTTTTGTCTCATGTTACTCAAAGGCACAATCTTTCAAGTTACCGTTGCCTTAAGCCTTTCAAAGTCTCTGATCGGTCATGAAAATTAAAATTTTTATTATATCTCAAAAACTAGTGTTAATTCATTATACACTCAATATACCATTACTGACAAATGGACGGTGACAATCTCAGCGACAAGCTGTAAGTCTTCTCCACATATCCTTGCTAATGACAAAACAGTCAGTCCCTCTCTGCTACTCCTTCTCCCCCAGCCGTCAGGCTCGCGGCCTTAGCTTGCCCACCACTGTGAAAGCCCCTCTCGGGAAGACCACAAATACCTCGGAGAGGACCTTTCCGAATCCCTCCCTGTGCTCCCCCAGACCACGGGGCTGCACTGGAGCACTTGGGAAAAATCAGATACTCGGTGAAGTCTTGTAAAAATAAATACAATGATACTGCAGTTTTGTATTTTAAACTTAAGAAAAACACACGAAGCTATGTGATTACTTTAAAGGCACATCTGGTTCCACAGCACAGACTCCAACCCTCGGCTCTACTCACCCAGGCCGTGAACCGTGTTGTAGTCGATGTCGGTCCCACACACGTAGGCGCCGAAGTGAGCAGAGGCGATCAGGAGGCCGCCTGAAAAACGACACAACTATGAGCTTGCAAACCAGCTGCGGGCGGAGCACCCTGGAGGGACACCACCCGGCCACACCGGCAAGCCTGAGCGGAATGGTGAGCCCGAAGCTGAACCCTGGAGCTGGCCGAGGAGCCGAGCATCAGAGGCGCCCTGCGACCTCACCTGCACAGCACTGCTGAGGGGATGCTTTTTCATTTTTATCAAAATAATGCATATTCAGACATTTTCATCTTGAGAACTTATACAAAAATACCTTGCTCCTTTCTTAAAATTAAAAATGAGCACAAAAAACGCTGCTTACACAGAGTTAAGGATACATAAATCCTGACAACTGGGCTTCATTCCCACTAAAGGGCACATAATTCATATGTGAGACATTAATTCTCACAAAAATTAAAGCATGACCATCAGCATGAAATCCAATAACAACCAATGCTGGCAGGACAGCAGGGAAAAAGTAATTCTACCCTGCTGGCGGGAATGTAAAGTAGTACAACCATTATGGAAATCAGTATGGAGATTCCTCAAAAACTACAAGTAGAAATCCCATTTGACCCAGCTATTCCTCTTCTAAACATCTTCCTGAAAGATTAAAGGCATCACATTACAGTGATACACACATACTTATGTTCATAGCAGCACACCACATAATAGCTAAATCTAGAAAGATGTTCATCAGACATGAATGCATAAACAAAATGTGGTGTTCATGCACAATGGAGCAGTGCTCTGCCATAAAGATAAACTTGAGTCATTTGTAGGAAAATCAAGGCACCTTGAAATCATAACATTAAGTGAAATAAATCAGACACTCAAGCTGAAATATCATATGGTTTCTCTTATATGAGAGACCCAAATTAAAAATAAAGAGCAAATTGAAAGATAGATAATAGGAAGTAGGGAGACAGATTCTTCTCAAATGGGAAGGCAATCAAGAGATAAAGCAGAAGTAAGGAGGGGAAAAGGAATTAAAGGTGTGCGCAGGAGTATAAACATCATGTACTACAAACATGGACCTACAAAAAATATGTTATTGTCGGGGCCGGGGATTTAGCTCAGTGGTTTCGCTGCCTTCTTCGCAAGCGCAAGGACCCAAGTTCGATCCCCAGTACCAAAAATAAATAAATAAATAAAAATATGCTATTATAAAGTATTGTTATTCTGGTAATCAATCAAGTAATTACCTTAGTTTAAACTATATATATATATATATATATATGAATTCCTGAATTATTAATATCAAACACAAAGTACAAAAGAATACAATTACTTTTCTAATTATTGCTATGACCAATGTCCCAATACAATTTGTCTAAACTAAGTAATTTGACAGATGTAACCACTTCACACATGAAGAAAAAGCCTAATGCAGTGGACCCTCAAGTTACGACCAGCCCAACATACAAACACCTTGGGTTATAAGCAGAATTTTGGTTTTAACTTACAACCAAAGTCTTGAGTTATGACTCAAATGCTAGCTGCTTGTGCTTCCAGATGGTCTCAGATACAGATTTAACCCTCACAGAGCTCTGGAAGGAACATGACAGCATCCTTTCCTGCGTGGGGTTCACTGAGAAATCCTGGGCCGATGTCTCTCTAAGGACACTGAGATCTGCCTGGAAGAAAGTGTGGCCGAAAAGTATTCGGGAGAGAGATTCCGAAGTCAACTGACCAATTTGAGTTACAACCAGCCCTTGGGAACAAACTGAATTCATATATCAAGAGTCCACTGTAATTATTACAAAATAATGAAACTCTTTAAAATAAAATCGTATAAATTGTTAGAAAAATTTTCAGGGCCGGGGATTTAACTCAGTGGTTTTGCCACCTGCCTTCTTGCAAGTGCAAGGACCCAAGTTCAATCCCCAGTACCAAAAAAAAAAAAAAACAAAAAACACAGAAAAAATTTCAAAGTTAAATAAATTTTTAATAATTGTAGTCTTCCATTCAAATTAAACTACTTTTAGGGGCCGAGGATTTAGCTCAGTGGTTTCACCGCCTGCTGTGCAAGCGCAAGGATCCGAGTTCAATCCCCGGTACCAAAAGAAAAACTTTTAGTGCATAAGCAAGTCCTAGTTAACTACAACACAGAAATCTGTTAGTCAAGCTGAAATCAGAAATAGTCTTAGGCAGGCTGGGGATTTAGCTCAGTGGTTCCGCTGCCTGCCTTGCAAGTGCAAGGACCCGAGTTCGATCTCTGGTACCAAAAAAAAAAAAAAGAAACAGTTTTAGTCTACCAAATATGCCCAGATGTGGGCAAGGGGGAAAAACTAAGCCTCTTTCCTCATATCCTTGAAATGTAACCTCTAAAATTAAGATGGGTAATAGAGAGGCTCAAGATCTACAAATTAATGTGCTCCTATCACAGCCATTTAGTTTTCTTATTAGTCCAGGTCTGCAGTAACACTGACCCCATTCCTCCAGGGGAACTGGTACGCGTGCATATCACATCTTAAATCTTTTTACATCCCGCTCCTTCCCCACCTCGCCCCACCCATTTCTCAGTCCCCTTCCTATTGGTAAAAGATCTAGCTCATCTTCTGTTATCTTTTTTTTCTTGTTATCTATCTTTTATTTTGCTCTTTCATTTATTTATAGTTTGAGTTTCTCAAAAGAAAGCATGCAATATTTAAGCTTGTGTATCTGACTTATTTCACTTAACATTACGGTTTCATGGTGTATCCATTCTCCCATGAATGACTCAAGTTTAGCCCTCTTTGTGGCACAGTACTCCACTGCGTATAGATACCACATTTTCTTTCTCCATTCATCTGCTGATGGACATGTAGTCACTTCCAAGATTTAGCTGTCATAAACTGTGCTGCTACAAACATGGGTGTGTGTGGATCACTACAGTACGATGCCTTTAACTCTTCTGGGAAGACACCTGGTAGAGGAACAGCTCTACCACAGCCATTTAGCATACAGTCTGGTAACATTCCTTGACAACACTTCACTCGTGAAAATACTGTAAATGACTCATTCCTACCAGAGCCGCTGAAGAAGAGAAAAGGATGGGTAAAAGTAGCAGAAAGCAAAACCTCGGGCCTCCTACCCAAGTGCTGAGAGCACTGATGTGGGACGGAAGGAGGAGACCTTGAAGTCTTAGCCCAGACACGGAACAGCACCTGCCTAGGAAAGGCGCTGTGTGTGAGAACCAGACGCTTCCACACCTCCCCCAGTCACGGGCAACACTGTCCCCCTGCCGAAGAGACAGGTACTCGCCCCAAAGAGCTAACTGGCGATAGGATGCTAAAGCTTCCCCGAGTTCCCGCACCAGGACCTTCCCCATTTGCTTAGAGAGGATTTTGAGAGGAGCCAATTTACAGTCCACTGCTGAGAGAGACGAATCCTCATTGGTCTGCATCTGCTACCTAACTCTGTGCCTTTTCATTTAAATTGGTTTCTTGAACTGGCCACCATGTAATCACAGTTAATTATTTAGTTGTTCTTTGGAGCACACGGACGAATTTTTGGCCTTCAGCTGTACCTGACTTGGACTGTTATTGGAAGCTTTTCGGTGGAAAGGGGGCAGCATTAGGAAAAGGCGCACTGCACCATGACTTGTCCGCTGTTCTATGCCATCAAAAGTGAAAATCCCACATATGCAATCTAAGCTAACCAGCCAGCGTTTCAACTTACCATTACTTAAACAGTAACCACTTTAAGGCTAAGGTAGTATGTTACAGGAAACAGAATACTGTAAGTGGAATCTATTCCATGATACAGAAACTTCTTTGTTTCAATCTTTAGAGAATGAAGTAGAAAGCACTGCAAATGTGGAAAAATGAAACATGAGGCTTTCTTTTTGCCGACAGAAAGGGGAAAAAGAAAATTGCTAAGATTCCTACATCTGAATAAGTTCTAGTTAAATAAATACAAGCAGCCTGAGCAAAAGAATATGGTTCAAAATAGAAATCCTACCAAACTATTAGACTCACCAAAAGGGGGCTACAGAGTTTTAGGAGGAAAACGGGAAGAAAAGAATATTACAAAGACCTCAGAGATTCATTCCTCAGTCTCCAAACTTCCCTTTTTTTCTCCATTGTCTCCTTCCACACTAAGAGGATCCGACATCTGGACTCTACGCCTATTGTTTTGCAAGGACAAAATTTCAGAAAGAGCTATACCCCTTTCCTTGTGCCTGTGAGTCATCTGAAGACGGTAAGGCTACACAGTACACATACAGTAGTCTCCTGGCTACTCTCATTCCTAGGAAAACTGACTGACTTGAGAGAGGGGAGGAGAAGGAACCAAAGCCATGGCTTCAGAGCACTGCGCCGCTTACAGCAAGCAGTGCACACGTGTACCAATTATGTTAATCACAGGCAAAGAATTAGACGTTTATGATTCTAAGCCTCAACTTCATTGCCTACTGCAGTAGTTGCAAATTATGACTGTTTTGGAAATCAGCCAAAGAAGGGACTAGAAAGTAAGTTCGTGGTCAAATTTCTTCATCATCACCATTTAATATTAGCTATATCTAATATCTTTCCCCACAAAGGAATTCAAGCTGTCGACAAAATAATCATTAAAAAATGATGGTAACTATTACAGTCCACTAAATAGCTATCATAAGTCAAGCAATTTCTAAGAATATCATATATCTATCTGTATTACTTCTTTTAATCCTTACAGTGTATGACCATTACCTCTTTACAAACGATTACACTGCAGCAGACAAGTTATGCCCAAGGTCATATAATAATTGGTAGAGTAAATGTTGTAAACCTTATGCTGTGCACTCTTTCTTTATACAACAGTACCTCCTTTGGGGTCAGCACCTGTTGAGTAATATGCATCCACTTTCATTACACAGCTCACACTTACTGTTTTGGAAGGAAAGTCCTCCCATCACTAAGGCAGAGCCCTGAGGGGAGGACAAATTGTGCTTAAGAGAGATCTGCAGACAACTACAGGTTACATCCAGTTTCAAACAAAAATACCCCAAACTGACTTATCCCCTAAAGCTATGCCCCAAAGCTGTGTTTGTAAACTA